TTAAGGAGTTGAAGGATTGATAGCTGAATTTTCCCATAATAAGTTAAGCCTTACGTTTCCATTACATTTCACATGACCTTGTTACCCAAAAGGTATTCTCATCCAGAGTGAACTAAAGCGTGGCCACTAGATGAATACAAAATCTTGTAAAAACCTGATCTAGAGAGAGCGTCATAATGGGTAAGACCGTGAAAATGGTCTTTGGTCCAGAGCTTGAGAAGTCAAGGTAGAGAAACAAACCTAGATGACCATCGATACGGACTAGCAAGAATATTCTAGAAACTATTCCCCCCTTTTAACTTTAAATCCTGACCACATTAACTTATCTTCTCTTCTTGATGACGACGATTTTGATATTTTTTGGCCTACGAATTTCCTTTAAGCTCAAGCTTTGTTTCACCGAGCTTGTTGAAGAAGGAATAACTCGTAACGATATCCTGGTCTTTCACTATGCAAGTTAAATTTAAATGGATAGTTTAACTATCCAAATTTGTGGGCTGTTTTCCAACAAAACTTTATATCTCACAGTGTTCCGATGGTAGACATAAATGAAATTTACTAAAAAGCTTTATGCTTACTATTTTAATCTAATTGTCAAAATACTACATTATTACTTCCCATAAGTATTCTTCTTCGAAATTCATACAATTTACAAACTTTATCATCTTATTCAAAGTTAGACAAATGAGTAAGCAAGTTTTCAGGGTGCATTATGTAGTTTGCTTAATAAAGCCATTGTTGATATTTTAAAATTGTTTTATTAACATGGATACTTCTTTATTTTTTTAATATTTTCTACAAAACGCCTATTTAATAACTTCAATCATTATAAAATTTAGTAATGCATCTATATAGAAACTTTTTATTATCCATTATAAAAAACAAAAGAATTTGCGTATAAAGGTAAGATCAACAAAATATGAGGTGTCATCGGCGTAGATTAATGTAACGAACAGCTTATGTCAGAAATTAGCAAATCTGTCAGAGGTCTCTAGATTTTTCCAAGGATGGGATCCTATTCAAGGGCCTGAACTTCGTTTTGCCAGGTAGCAAGAACTTCAAGGAAGAAATATTGGCAGAACTTAGCACTTTAACAGATAGGTTCCCAGAAGAGAGTGAGAATGATATATAATTAAAGATCGTTACTTTGATGGACAGTCATGTAAGAATAGGACTAGTAATGACATTATAAGTAAACGTAGGCAAAATTATCAAATAGTTATGAAGGTAGATAAAGGTGGAGCAGTGGTAGTGATGGATAGGGCAAACTATGTGGAGCAAGATTTAGGTGACCCAACAGAACGACGGAAGGCTAAGCTCAAAGGTTGCCTACAAGATTGTATTAATAGTGTAGAATGAATAAATTTACTCAGAGAGATGTTAAACCACCAAACGCCTATGGTCTACCCAAGATTTATAAGGAAGGTGCCCCAATTGGTAATGTAATAAATAATAACTGTCTGGTTATGCATAAAGCATAGCGTTCTATTTGTACATAATTAATCAAATCTCTGAAATGTGAAAGTTTTCAATAATGAATTCTTACTACTCTGTTAAACCAGTAGATGAACAGCAAGTGGTGCTTTGTTTGTAAGTTTAGATGTAATTTCTCTGTGGCCTAATATTCCGATAAACGGGACGACACAGGCTTCGAAATTAACCTTAGAGCAGCACCTGTAGACTTTACCAGATAAAAAGTCAAGCAAGGTCTCTATCATTGGATTGACTAATTTTGTATATATATTTTATGTGCAATAGTAAGTTGTATGAGCGAACTCGAGGTTTAGCTACGGGATCGTGTTTAGCTCCAATTTTAGCTAATAATTACGTGGTACAATTAGAGATCGTTTGATTTAAGACGCACTCTTAGTTCTCAAACTATTAGTCAGATACGTGGACGACTTCTTTGCTGCTTAGTAACACGACAAAGTGAAAGTGGATGAACTACTGGCGATGCTGAATAGATGAGAAGAAATGACTAAATTTACTATGAAGTTAGATAAGGACGATAAATTACCTTTTATGGATGCCTTGCTAAGTGGGAAAAAGTACTAAGTTGGTTAAAGACTTGTTTAGGAAGCCCGTACAGGCAAGTGTAATTTTTAGTTTCTTTTCAAATCATGCATATGGGATCAAAGTAGGCATTATGAAATCGATGATAATAAGGAGTCTACGCCTTGGGAAAAACCATTGGCAGCAGGAAATAAGTAGATTAAGGAGTATATAGATCAAAATAATTATCCAATTTGATTAATTGAGAATTTATTTTTATTGCTCATAAATTGTTTGCAAGAGAGACAGAAACATAATTCTACTGGTTTCTTGATATGGCCATCATATTAGCTTCTACAAAAGACAGGTGAATAGCTGAGTAAGCGGAATATCACAGGAATGTCTAAAAACAAACCAAAGCTATCCTCAGTTATGCATTTTTTTCGAGAATTTTCGACCCTCCTTCCAGATCATGATGTCAAAAGGTTTTGTGCTCATGTGGTAATGCTTATGGGGGGGGAGACTTACCGGCCAATACTTATAAGTGTATCTATACTCAAAACCGCCTGCAGAGGTCTATGGGCTCAAAAATCCTAGCTAGCTAAGCACATCGTTAATACAGGACACGAAATAGAATGGTCAAAAATATTGCGTTTTTCAAGCTACGGGGATTTCACATTCAGGCTTAATATTAGGGAGTCTATAGAAATTTTTAAAAAAACAGCCAACATCCTAAATAGGATGAATGAATGTAGGAAATTGAGCAGGAATTATTTGTGGATGTTAAGTAGACTAAACGAGAGACAGAAAGAAGAAGAAGAATTACTGAGTAAGAGGATGCTTGAATTGCCCATAATCTGATTAAGATTCTCACACTTAACATGACTTTGACTTGCATAGACATAATACGAAATACCACATAGGTACAAAATTACAGGATTATTTAGGAAAGGAAGCAGCTAAATCTA